GCCTGGCTGCGGCGAGCGGGCGGGGGCGCCTCCTGGGTCCGCCCCCGACCAGGGCAGCGCGCAGCCCCAGTGCTTTCCAAACCGCCGGGGTGCGATCCCCACAGCAGAAGCTCCCTCACCCCACCCCCCATGAGCTCCTGACCCCCACCCGGCCTGGGGGGTGGGGTCGCGGCCTTTCTAGTACGAACACGCTCCCCCTTTCCACTCCTTCCTTTGGAAGGAAGGGGGCTGAACCCCACCTTCCAACCCGGTGTAGCACCTGGAAACCCTCCCGGAGAGGGCCGCCCTCTCCCCCCCGCCCCTAGAGACGGTTGGGGGCACAGACCAGGGTAGCCAGCCCCGGGCGCCCCGCGCTCACACCGCCTGGCTTCCTCTGCTTGCAGGTGTAGCGCCCTCGCCCGATCCCGGCGGCCCGGCCTCGCCAGCATGACCGGCCAGAGCCTGTGGGACGTGTCGGAGGGCCACGCCGTCGAGGACAGTGAGATCCGCATCAACGTGGGCGGCTTCAAGAGGAAACTGCGTTCGCGCACGCTGCTGCGCTTCCCGGAGACGCGCCTGGGCCGCCTGCTGCTGTGCCACTCGCGCGAGGCCATCCTGGAGCTCTGCGATGACTACGACGACGTCCAGCGCGAGTTCTACTTCGACCGCAACCCCGAGCTCTTCCCCTACGTGCTGCACTTCTACCACACCGGCAAGCTGCACGTCATGGCCGAGCTCTGCGTCTTCTCCTTCAGCCAGGAGATCGAGTACTGGGGCATCAATGAGTTCTTCATCGACTCCTGCTGCAGCTACAGCTACCACGGCCGCAAAGTGGAGCCCGAACAGGAGAAGTGGGATGACCAGAGTGACCAGGAGAGCACCACGTCCTCCTTCGACGAGATCCTAGCCTTCTACAACGACGCCTCCAAGTTTGAGGGGCAGCCCCTGGGCAACATCCGCAGGCAGCTGTGGCTGGCGCTGGACAATCCCGGCTACTCGGTCCTGAGCAGGGTCTTCAGCGTCCTGTCCATCCTGGTGGTGCTGGGCTCCATCATCACCATGTGCCTCAACAGCCTGCCGGACTTCCAGATCCCGGACAGCCAGGGCCACCCTGGCGAGGACCCCAGGTTTGAAATTGTGGAGCACTTTGGCATTGCCTGGTTCACTTTCGAGCTGGTGGCCCGCTTTGCCGTGGCCCCGGACTTCCTGAAGTTCTTTAAGAACGCGCTGAACCTTATTGACCTCATGTCCATTGTCCCCTTTTACATCACTCTGGTGGTGAACCTAGTGGTGGAGAGCACACCTACCTTGGCCAACCTCGGCAGGGTGGCCCAGGTCCTGAGACTCATGCGGATCTTCCGCATCTTGAAGCTGGCCAGGCACTCCACCGGCCTCCGGTCCCTGGGGGCCACGTTGAAATACAGCTACAAAGAAGTAGGGCTGCTCTTACTTTACCTCTCCGTTGGGATCTCCATCTTCTCCGTGGTGGCCTACACCATTGAAAAGGAGGAGAACGAGGACCTGGCCACCATCCCCGCCTGCTGGTGGTGGGCCACTGTCAGTATGACCACCGTGGGGTACGGGGATGTGGTCCCGGGAACCACGGCAGGAAAGCTGACGGCCTCCGCCTGCATCTTGGCCGGCATCTTAGTGGTCGTTCTGCCCATCACCTTGATCTTCAACAAGTTCTCCCACTTTTACCGGCGCCAAAAGCAGCTGGAGAGTGCCATGCGCAGCTGTGACTTTGGAGATGGAATGAAGGAGGTCCCGTCCGTCAACCTGAGGGACTACTATGCCCATAAAGTTAAGTCCCTCATGGCAAGCCTGACGAACATGAGCCGGAGCTCGCCGAGTGAGCTAAGCCTGGATGATTCCCTACATTAGCTGGGAGGACTGCTCTCGTTGGTTCTCAGTCCTATGTGGCGGAATTGCCTCTTGTGCCTCAGGCACCACGGCTTGAGCACTTTGCCAGCCACAGCACGCTGTTGCCATAAGGAGCAGGCCCGCGCCCAAGGGGGAGAGATGCCTGGGCTGCGCGCACCCGGGGTTGCTTTACCGGTGTTTAGAATTGTTTTTTAAGAGGATGGTGTGTCTGACGCCAGGCCTTTGCACCTTTCAATGAAACGGCGCTCGTGGGTGGTCCTTAGCCTGTGGGCGTATCGTGTTCACCTTTCTGCCGGATGAGTACCACCCAGAATGCAATTCTTTTTGCCCTGTTCATTGTGTACACGATTCTAGCGCTCCCAGTCCAAGCGCCGTCTGTGAGTTGTTTGTGTTCTTATTTCTGAGGTTGTCATGTGAGTTCTACACCAAAAAAAAAAAAAGGCCCCACCCCCAAACTGTCCAATAGAATAGAAACCTATGTGTGAGGTCAGCCAGGAGCTGTGGAGACGTAGCTCACTGTCCTGTGCACGCCTGATCTCGCTTCTTATAGCCGTTGCTGCCGCGTCTTTTCCATCGCAAACCAAGAGATTGGGCAGAGGAGCACGCCTCACCGCTGCAAAGGAACCTGGAGCTGGGCGGCTGCAGGGGTGCACAGACCACCTTGAGAATGACTCGTGCAGATAGATCTGCCCCTTGTCCACGTTGCCCTCCCTTTAAGAAACGTGGCTCAGTGAAGTGCAGCGAAGGTTGCTTTGGGTTCTTTCCTAGGAACAGGGGGTTCAGCTGACCACAGGCCTGACCCCAAGATGCTTGGTGCAGAGCTCTGCCCTTTGCGGAGCCCATTCTCTCGGGGCCTCTCTCTTTCCCAGTGACCACAGAGCCTGTCTCTGAGTGAGGCTCTGAGGCTGGGCCATTTGAGCAAACGTTGCTGTGTCTTAGATACTGTTGTCCTTAGCTATCACTAAGTGGCCACCCCACCCCCAACTCATGGCAACCCCATGCACCAAGGGATCTGACTGTTGGGATCCACAGGATCTTAGATAATCGCATGTTTAAAGTTTTATTTTTTTTTTAATGTTTAGGAATAAGGTTCTGTTGTCTTTCTTGGCTAAAAAATGTTTCCTGCTGTACTGTCTTCATGGAATCGCTGGCCAGGGCAGTGGCGGAAAACCTCTGTTGCCTACTCTGAAAGCCCCAAACCCGGGAGCTCCTTTATCCCCAGCTGACGTTGTTTAGGTCACATGGATTCTAGTGTGTCCGTCCCTATGCTGCTACGAGAGTCCCGGAGTGCCTGTTGGGCCATGGAGACCTGGTGGCCTGGACGTGTGAACGCAAAAGACATAAAGGCTTTTTGGCTGACCCAGAAGGAAATCCCTCCAGTTCTGATGTCCATCCCCCTGGCTTTGGTTGGGGGTGTGTGTTAGGGATGATGGTGGTGGTGTTGGAGACCAGGAGAAAGGAAGAGACGTGTAAGGCAGAAAACGACGACTTTCTCAAATGCCACCAAGTGTAGTATGATCTGTGATGTATGTGTCTAGGCTTGTGTGGAAGGAAGAGAGCTGTTTCCTTCTTCAAAATTCCCTTCCTCCTTATCTGCTGTTATTTAGCGCATAAAATCGTGAAGGGGCAGGTGGGTCCGTTTGTCATTCTTCTCCACCTCATCTTCTAGATCCTTGGATGGCATCCATTATTCACTTCCATCGTTGGTCTGTCTTTGGAAAGGCTGTGGAATCCAGGGATTGGAGTGTTGGGGTCAGGCAGGGTTTTGATCCAAATCTTCCCGCACTCGATCGCTTTTGCATCTCAGTTGGATGAAGATAATCCATGGCTGACAGGCATGTGGTGAGGAGCTTGTCAGAGGGCTGTGTGGCTGGGTAGTTGCCATGGCTACTACTGCACAGACGGTTTGTTGGATGAGCACACCAGTCACTCATGCCCTTGACTTCCGGTTCAGGTGCTTCCATCAGCATGGAGAGTCCAGGGGAGTGGGGAGGTAGTCACCCCTGGGTGCCTGATGGTCTGTGCCTCTTCCTCAGCACCACCGGGAGAGGTGAGATGACACAGAGGTATCAGAAGCCAAACACCAGGATTTATTTTTTCAGGATTTGCACCCGGAACACTTGGCTTTGGTTGCTGTTTCCAGCATGAAGAGGCAGAGAATTTACCCCACCATCCCCGACTGCCCTAAAGGCAGGGGATGGGACAGGCTCCCGAGGTCTGTTTTACTCGCCAGGGTTGATGATATTCTCAGTCACTGACTTTGAAGTCGGAGGAAACGGAAGCTAGGAAGGAGGCGGATGAGCTCGGTTTCTAAAGAAACAGGTTTGACCACACAGAAAATGGGGGCCCCTGGTAGTGACCCTTTGCATGAAAGAGAGAGAGTGAGAGCCAGAGCGTGAGTGAGAGAGAGAGCGAGCGAACTGGAAGGCTTCAGTTTGGGAATGACTTGCATTTATTTGGTGCCTTTCATTGGGAGAACCCCAAAGTGCTTTAGAGACTTTTTAAACATCTCTTGTCCATGTGTCTACTTGCATAAAAGATGGCTTTGCCCAACCTGGAACTGTCATTGCTTTTAAGCCTCCGCCCGGCCTGATAGCATTGAGTTATCCAAGTGGTGGTTTCAGAGACAAAGGAGAGAGAGCCAGGCTGGTGGCGTGGCCCTCGGGAGTTTCTACTGGCAAAGAATGGAAACGGCTCCGTGACCCAGGGAGGCATCCTCTTTCTCCTCTTCCCCAGCGCACCACCAAGATGTGACAGTCACCAGCGCTCTCAATGGGGTGTTCCGTGGACCTGGGGTAGCAGTGCCCTCTCATCCCTGATGCTAAGTAGGGAAAGCCAGGTTAATTTTCTGCTGTTTCTGGAATGAAGATGATCAGTGTGCGATGATGTCGCTGGCCACCGAGGCTGACCTAGAAACTGCCTTGATTTCAATGGATACAGCAGAAGCTGGGGATCGCTTATTCCTGCAGCTGGCTGGAGGACGACTTCACCCCCAACATGTGAAGTTGGTTAATTTCCAAGACAGTGGGACCCATAGAAGGGCCAAACTCCTTGCTCCTGCCACACCACGCCACCGCCGCCCCTCCCTTTAAATGACGAGCATTTTGAAAGTGCTAGCCTAAGCAGGGACGCCACATCATTTGCACAGATGCACGCTGGTTATAGTTGTGTTGTACTTTCCCTGCCAAAACCCTGAAATTCCTGGGTTTGCTACCAGTGAAGGGCATGTTGTAATGCCGAGCCGGTCTGGAGCTCAGTGGGGGTAGTAATGGGTGTTTACTATTTGGATCAGTTATTTCTACTTATTACTCAAATCATTGAACTACCTGTTAATTCTCACCTCTTTTCACAAAGAAGTGTTTGTTATGCACTTTGGGATAGCGGTGATCTTGTACGGGCTTTGTGTTGGCTCCTTGAAGGCTTAACTGGTATTTGTGTGTTTTAACAGCATGACTTGTTTCAGAGTTGTAATTTTAAACATCGAGAACGCTGTATTTGCAATGTCAGTTTTAACACTCATTAACACACTACTGTGAAAGCATCAATACAGCCTTCGTTGCGCTATTGTGTCTGATGCCACATTCTCACCGTTGCCTCTGCAGGGGAACCAGGAATGGCTCTCCTGACTCGCTCTCCCGCCTCCCAGAGCATGCAGGTTAAACAGGGGGAAGTTCCCACTCTCCCTTAAGGCTCTTCAAGAGGCCCGGGGTGGTGCAAACAGCTAATGCTCTCAGCTGCTAATCAAAAGGTTTCAAGTTCAAATCTACCCAGAGGTGCCTCATAGGGGAATAAAAAATAGCCCTGGCAATCTACTTCAGGAAAACCAGTCAGCGCTCACAGGTGTACTCTGGTATGCAGTCACCAAGTGTCAGAGTTCACGCCACAGCAACTGTGCATGTGTATGTGATTGTTTTTCATTTTTAAGCTGAGTTGTATTTATCACTTTTTTTAAAGATCATTTTATTGGGAGCTCTTACAACTCTTATAACTGTCCATACATCAATTGTCTCAGACACATTTGTACACATGTTGCCATCATGTTGATAACGTCGTGTTGTGATTTGGGTTGACAGTGCAAGTTTGTTCTCCATTTGACAATTTTATCCTCAGTTTTCTGTGTGGCATTGTTGGCAATTCCCATAATGCCACAGCACTCTTCCTTCCAGGGGTTCCCATTCCCATCCCATCCTCCTTCCCTGCCTCCTGAGCTTTGTCCCTGAGCCAATGCTTCCCCTCTGCTCTGGTTGTCTGAGGAGTGTGTACCCCCCACCCCGTGATGCTACTGTTCACCGTAGAAGACTGAGCGTTGTTGGGCTGAAAGGAGGTGAGGTCACTTCCAGGCTTGAAGGGTGTCCAACGGCCATCATGCCAGAGGTTGTACCAGTCTTTATCAGACCAGAAAGCTGGGTCAGTTTAAAAAATTTAGTTTTGTTCTTTGTGTGGCCCCCACTCTGCTCAGGACCTTCTGTTGTGGCGTGTAGCGGTAGCTGGGCACCATCTAATTCTTCTGGCCTCTGGCGAGTGGTGCCTGAGGGTCATGTGGTTCACTAGATCTTTGGACTAATTGTTTGCATGAAATCTTTGATGTCCTTTATCCTTCACTTGCTCTGCATGGGGAAAAGCCAGTTGCAACTGAGATGGCTATTCAAGAGTGTTGAAGACCCCAGTAGTTACTCACCAAAGCTGGGTGTAGAACCTTGTCTCTGTGAACTAAGATAGGACAATTGACCTTGATGCTCCTTGAGACTACGGTCTTGAGGCGCAGGGTGCAGCGAGTCGTTCACTCAGGTGTTGGATAACCGATAAGACATTTTCATCACGTTGCCCCGTCTGCTCTACTATAACCACAAAAGCAAACTCATGCCATCGAGTTGATGTTGATTTATAGTGACCTTATAGGGCAGGATAGAACTGCCCCTGTGAGTCTCTCAGACTGGAACTCTTTATAGGAATAGAAAGCCCTGTCTTTCTCCCATGGAGTGGCTGGTGCTTTTAAACAGCTAACCCTGCGGTTTGCAGCCCAACAAGTAACCACTAGACCACCAGAGCTCCTATGCGCTGCCATATACATGAGTATGGACATCTGAGGCACTTCAGTTGTATTGGGAGTAGCAAACAGAACAAGGGCATTCAGCCAAGGGCCAGAGGTCCTGAGAAAGGCTGGCCTTTTTTTTTTCTTTGTATTGTGAATTGGGTGAAGGTTTACAGAGCAGATCCGTTTTCCATTTAGCGATTCATACGTATTTTGTTTCATCTCATTCATTGTAATCCTCACAGTGTAACATCACTGATCTCACTTCCTACGTCTGTTTCCTGTTTCCATTCCTCCTTCTTTCCTAACCTTTCTGAACTTTGCCTTTGGGTAAATGCTACCCTTTTGATCTCAAATAGTTGATTATTGTAAGGTGTGCATGCCTCCCTAGTGTGACTGTTCCCCTTATAGACTGGCTATTGTTTGGCTGAAACTGGAGCCGTAGGGGTGAGTTC